CTACTCTACTCTACTCTACTCTAATTGCTGCCTGCAATTTGTAAGAATTCCTCCTTCATTCGGCGCCCGGCATTGTCCCTTTTCCCACTCAGGACTACCCAATCTCTGATGTCCACCTGATTCTGAAGACAGCAAAGGATCTTCAGGAGTCGAAGTAGCTCGTCCATCCAAAGGTTCAGCAGATGTGATGGTTGCTTGTCCCCTCTGTGGAGGACCTCTGGAGGAAGTCACGTTTCTTCTCTTCCAAAATCTCCTCGACCGGAAATAATGACTCCTCCTTGCCACATCCTTTGGGCAAGGGACTCTAAGGAGATGAGCTACAAGTCCCCTCTCGAAAGGCCCAAGAAGCAGGACCCACCTGGGATTGGACTCCATGGGAAAGAACCAGCCCCTTTTGGGGAACTTCTTCTGCAAGCTGCCAATCCAGCTTCTGCGTCATAGGTTTTGGGATAAGTTCTTCCCAGTCGCTCCCAATCCAGATCCCAAGGTCTGGAGCCTTCCTGTTAGATTCCTTCCTCCTTTGTTTGGAGGCCAGCTTTTCCTGGAAGCTTAAAAGAAGAAGGAAAAAAAATGGAACAATGCTAGAAAGGTCTCCTTAGCCACACTGCCTTGGAGCGGACCTACTTCCTCCATTGCTGAAACGTGGAATTGTCTAGATGGGGACGTTCAAATGCAGAGCAACATTCTTGCTTAGACTTTCAGTTGTCACCCCTGTTGCGTTTCCCGACTGCCTGTGATTTGTCAGTGCTCTGCCATGAATTATAAATTATTCCCCCCGAATTGGTAAAAGCCTGTCCTTGGCCACAAATTCCTCCGATAAAGAGTTTCCTGCAAGCCAAAATAACTGATAATTTAAGGATGGAAGACTTCTCCATGCTCTGCTGGTATCTGCTTGCAGGGAAAATTTCCCCGTTCCAGTGAACATTGATGCAAAGTGATTTTTCTAGCAGTGAAAAGGGGATTTTGATTATTTTCAGAACTCTACCGTGTTAATGACGTGCTATTCTGGGTTAGTTTGAGTTCCCAAAAGTTAAATCAGGCCTTTGTGGCATATTTGAAGAGGTAACTACTTTTCCCTCTAATTAAATTCAAGGTAATATGTGTAGGGGGGTTTTTTTCTCGGTTTTTTTTGGGCGGGTGGTGGTGAGGGAATGCTGTTATCTTGAATATAAGAGGGAAATTAGAAGTTCGATGTAGCTGAGCATCGAACCCTGTGTTTTCATGCCAGTCAGAGAATTTTGATTCTAAAATCATTTTCAAACAGCCCCGAAAGACGTCATGTTTTATGCTGTGTTTAAAGAGGATTCAAAATAAGAATTCTGCTTTTTCCAAGAAGAATGTGCAAAGGATTATTTCCGGCGTCCTTCCTGCTTCTACTCCCAATTTTGCAACAGGAAATACCCCAAGGGTCCATTTTATGGCCTTTTTTTTTTTTTTTTGATAATACATAATGGAACCAGAACCCAGGAGATGATATCAAAACATTTCTAAATGTATACATCAACCCCGCTGCAGGAAATGCATTTTTGCTTTATTACAAAAGGAAGAAAATTAGCAAGAACCATGGAGTTTCAACAATTATATTCCATATGTTCCTTTAATTATTACGTATTATCTTGGTGGAGGGAAATGGTTCTGTAGTAAGGAGTATGTTGGGCACATTTGAAGGCTTCCTGAAAATTAGCCTTACAGCTTTTATACAGCATAATCACTGCCAAATCCTATAGCATAGTTTCCTTCCTTCCTTCCTCAGAGCAGGCTGAAAAAGACACAAAACTGCAAAACTTGCACGAACAGTGAAACTGCTGCTTAGCATTTGACACTCCCAGTAGAAGGAACAAAAACAAAGCTTGCACACACACAAAAAGGGCTTTTCTCCCAAAATACAGATTAGGTTTCTTGCAAGACAGAAATGATGGCTGTCTTCAACTATTTTTTTTTTCATTTTTTCCTGGATAATTGTCTTTTTCTTTTTTTAATTTTGATGGCAGCCACGTATTGGATACGATGTGCGATAGGTAGCAGCTGGTTTTTGGGTGGCCTAAAAATTATTCTCTGTCAGTTAAATTGAATGTAAAAAAAAATGTTCGGATTGTGCTACTTAAAATCTCATGCTGCAATGAAGGGACAAAAAATGTGTGTGTGTGTGTGTTGTCTATTAAAAAAATTCCATTTTCTTGCATATTGGAGTAGGTCAAGATTTTTACACGCCCATGCACACCATCCCACAAAACTGCTTAGAATCATTGATTGAGCCTATTGTTACTTCCAAGTTCAGTGTGTAAAAAATGTTTTTGTGAATCTCTGGCAACACTCTACACAAAGAGATGGATATTTTTGTTTTTCTTGGCGGATATAATAGATCGGATTGACTCAATTTTGCTGCCATTTTGTTTTGCTGTCCTGCCAAATCTTGCTTTCGTTCTTTAATTTTTACGTATTCCTACTACTTTCTGAAATAGCTTTTTTATTTCTACTGGCTAAATTAGTTTCTTGCTTTTGAGCATCAGATGTAGAATTATGTAAAAAAAGAACTGATGGGGAGAAGATACAATAAGGTTACAAAAAATCATTGCCTGTGCAGTACATAGAGATAGGTAAGCAGAATCTTGATTCAAGAGCGAGTTCGGAAGTGTATAATTTGTACAGGAAATTATCTACAGCTCTTTGTCGACCTGCATTTCTTTTTTAATTCTATATTTTGGGAACAGTGGAAATACGTGCTGTTTTTTGGTTGTTTTAAAGATTGAGTAGAGGCCTGTTGCCAATATGAAACAGGGTATTTTGTGTTTTGCTTTTCAATTATTTTGGCAAGCAAGCAAGCAAGCCAGGATTCAAGGCATTTATCATGGTTTTTCTGCTGGAATGGTCACAACAGTCGTGATGGTGGCTACGAAGCCGCAATGGGAGCTCAGCCTGCCATCTTTTTTTGACCTCTCTTGCTGATCATCCATGGTAAAAATCCCGACCAGCTTTTGACTGGGGAAGGACTCAACCCCACCCCCAAAATTCTGCAGAGGTGCGTGTAAAAGTTTTTGCACTAGCAAATTTGTTCTAGCTAGCAGATCGATTCCAGTGTGTTCTGTAATTTTTCTGTGTCGTTCAATTTAATTTTTCTTTTTTTTGTTGTTTCCTAAATAAAGATTCTCCTTTGCAAAACCTGACTGGCTTTGCCGGTCTTTTGAGGGATGAAGGAGGCTTTTCTCCTCATATTATTTTTACTGGCTAAATGAAGTTTGTTTCCCAGTTTCAATATATATTTAAATTTGGGGGGGGGGAACAGGAAGATAGAATAAGTTAAAAATTGCCCTTGAAATACATAGTGGGAGAAAAGAAGGATCTTGATTCGAATGAATTCACAAGTGTATAATTTGTACAGGAGATTCTCTGCAATTTCTTTTGTTGATCTGTTTTCTTTTGTTCGTTGCTCTTTCAGGGAACAAAAACTATGATAATGACAAATGAAGTTATTTTGGAAGATTTTTTGGGGGGTGGTGGTGAAGGTTTTTGCAGGCTGAAATTAAAATAGACAAATGGATAAAGGGGACAATATTGTTATTTTACAATTTTGTTTGGGGGAGGGTGAAAGGTTATTTGCAGAAATTGGAATTAAAAGAAATGCACGAACGGGATAGTTATTTTGAAAGATTTTTTGGGGGCGGGGTGAAAGGGCATTTGAACAAACTGAAATTAAGATGTACAAATGATTGACAAAGGGGACAGTTAATTTGAAGTATTATATTTGGAGAGGCTTGGAAAGGGCTTTTGCAGAAATTGGAATTAAAGTAGACAAAGGAACCGGACTAGTTTTATTTACTATTTTTATTTATTCCCCAGCTATGCTGGCTGGGGAATTCTGGGAGTTGAAGTCCAGCATCTTAAAGCTGCCGATGTTGAGAAACACTGAAATGGATTAAACAAAGAGGCGGTTGGCAATCAAAGGTGGTTTAGCCCTAAACTCCCCCCCTCTCGAGGTTTAAATAACTTCAAGGACAGAGAGAGGGCGCGAAAGTGCAAAGAACACGCACGCTTCTTAAAAGGGGCAATGCCCGATGCCTAGCCGATCTCATTCTCAGGGTTGTCATTGGGAGGATTAAAGTGGCCACTTTCTACTAGCTTCCTTCCCATCACAACAGCCGTGTGATGTAGGCTGGGTGGAAAGAACAAGGCGACATCGGAGTTGGGTGCGTGGGTGGCTGGGGATTTTCAAGCTGGATCTTTCCGCGCTTCCAAATTTTGCCCCGTTGGTGGTATAAAGATGCGGGTTTTTTTCCCCCCCGACTTTCACCCCTTCGGCCGTCCGCAGTGCAAGCAGAGGCAGCGCTCCTACCCCAAAAGACGCCACGGGGCGAAGGTCCTTGTTTTCTAAGCCCAAATAACACCACCACCACCACCTTGGCCCCACCCGCTCAGCGCCGTTGCCCCTTTAAGAAGCGGCCCTTGTAGCGCTTTCTTAATCCCTTTGCTTCCTCCCAACGTTCCATTCCTTTGATCCCGGCGCGTTCCATCGGCCAAGCGGCTCCCGCGGGCGGGCATGAAGCGCTGGTGGGGCAACCTGGCGCCCGCGGCGGCCTCGCTGGCTCTCGGGCTGGGCTTGGGCGCCGCCTGGTCCGGGGGGCAGAACCGGGAGTCCGCGGAAGGGCTGCTGGCGCGGCTGCCCGTCGTGCCGGTGCTGGCGGCGTCGTCGTCCTTGGAGGCGGGCCGGGGCGGCGGCGGCGGCGGCGGCGAGCTGGCCAAGTACGGCCTGCCGGGCCTGTCTCAGCTGCGGAGCCGCGACTCGTACGTGCTGTGCTACGACCCGCGAGCCCGGAGCGCCCTCTGGGTGGTGGAGCGGCTGGACGCGGCGGCCCTTCGCGGCTCCTCCGAGCGGGCCGCCTGCGACTTCCGCGAGGACGACTCCATCCACCCCTATCACCGCGCCAGCAACGCGGATTACCGGGGCAGCGGCTTCGACCGAGGCCACCTGGCGGCCTCCGCCAACCACAAGTGGAGCCAGAAGGCCATGGGGGACACCTTCTACCTGAGCAACATCGCCCCCCAGGTAGGCTGGGTGGGAACGGATGGATGCCCTCCCGTACCCCCAGGCGGAGTTAACGGAAGAGCCCCCTCACTTAGATTGACTAGGCTGTTTTTGCGAGCCTCCGGCCAAGAAGTCCTCCGATTTCAACAATTCCGCCCCAAATTTCTGTTGCTAACCGAGACATTGGTTGGCTGAATTTGTTGGCCCCGTTTTGCAACCGTCCTTTCCACAGTTGTTAAGTGAATCAGTGCAATTGTGAATAACACGGTTGTTGTGAATCTGGCTTCACCGCCGTGGATTTTGCTTGTCAGAAGGTCACTAAAGGAGAGCAAATGACCCTGGGAAGCTGCAACCGTCATAAATATGAATCAGTTACCAAACGTCAGAGTTTTGATCACGTGACCACAGGGAGGCTGTGTGAAAAATAGTCATGTGGCACTTTCTTCAGTGCTGTTGTAACTTCGGTCACTAAACCAGTAGTTATATAAGTCGAGGACTTCCTCTGTACTTTTGAATGTTTAACTCTCTCGCCTTCTATCTTAACCTGGTGGCTTTGATTTCCTAGAATCCTCATTTAAATCAAAACGCCTGGAATAACTTGGAAAAATATTCTCGGAGTTTAACGAAGACTCACCAGAATGTTTATGTCTGCACCGGCCCGCTTTTCTTACCCAGGTACCTGTGTTCCTCAGTTTCCCTTTTCTATCCTGTAGCCATCCCATCTGTTGCGGGAGCAGACGGAAAAGGCACTGTTTAAAAAAGTCATTTTGAATTTTTACCACGAGGTGAACGAAAAGATCCAAGCAGATCCTAAAGCGAGGCGTCTGGTTGCTATGGAATAGAAAAAAAATTGGGGTGCCGAATAAAATTTCTGTATTCCTGCAAAGTCTGTGGCAAAACTCAGCCCGCTGGGTTTTTATTGGCTTGAAATGTCATGGCAGAAAATTAATTTAATTTAAAGCGTGGCTGGGTGTCATGCAAACATTTGTATTTAGGATATTTGTTTTCGGACTGAATTTCCTCCACTTAAAAGACTGTTCTTGGGAAAGTTTTTTTCTCTCCAACCGAAGGGAACCTGGACACCGTGGGCAAAGTTGGAGGTATTAAAAGGGACCCTTCTTATTTATGTGACTGTGTTGTCTTTGTGCCACGCCCCTTTGGGTCATCACAGCACAACCGAGCTAATACCCCATTCGGGGTCTTTGATAGGTAAATTCACGCAGTGAGGACTAGAAACCTATGTGGCTTTTTGGATGATTTGTAATGGTGGTTCTCTCCACAGGATGGAGCCGGATGGGAAGATGTACGTCAAGTACCAAGTCATTGGGCGGAACCACGTGGCCGTCCCCACCCACTTCTTCAAGGTGCTGATCTTAGAAAAACCCCAGGGGGAAGTGGAGCTGCAGTCTTACGTCATGCCCAACGCACCCATAGATGAGAACATCCCCCTGGAACGCTTCCTGGTCCCCATTGAGAGCATCGAGCGGTCCTCGGGCCTCCTCTTTGTCCCCAACATCATGAAAAAGACCACCAGATTGAAAGCCATCACGGCGGGGAGCTCGGCCTGATGTCCCCCCCGCAGAGAGGCAGACTGCCAGCCGTCAAAACAACCTCCCCCCGCCACCCCGTGAGTGGCATCTGAATAGAGGTAGTCCTTGCAATGGAGCCCAAAATCTCCGCTGTTAAGCGAGACAGTTCTTTCGGGCGGTTTGGCCCCCCGTTTTTCACGATGTTACCTGCTGCCGTTTTTTTTTTTTTCAAGCGGATCGTTGCCATTGTTAAAAAAGTTGGTTCATCTGGACTTCCCGGTGGATTTTGCTTGTGGCAAACGGGGGATCGCCTAACTCTGCATCCGTCATAAATGTGAGTTGGCTGCCAGGCCGCAGGGGGCGTACTGAATTTTGATCACGTGACCACAGGGATGTGCAACGGTCGTTAAGTGCGTGAAAAAAGGGGAAGAACGTTTAGTTTCTTTTAGAAACAGCAAGGGAATTTTTTTTTTAAAAAAAAGGATTTCTCCAGTTCCAGGGAAATTTTTCAGGTGGGGAGGGAAATCAGAGGGGTGATGATCTCATCTCAGGGAAAACAAGTTTTGGCCCAAACTCAGGTTGAGGGTTGCATTTTGGGGCAGGGGAGAAAAAATAATAATGGATACCTTTGGATCCGTTTTGCACAATAAAACAAAGAGGAATCGCTCGGAGGTGGTCCTGGAATTTTGTTTCCCAAAACCAGCTCAGCTCTGTACTTCTGCCTTGTAGCTTTTAAGCACTAGTCCTCCAATTACGACTACAACTGGGACTTTGGGGAGGGGGGGGGAGAAGAAACAGCCCCCTTCTCCCATTTATTTCTGCCAGGCAAAATGCGGCTTTAAAAACATTTTTTTTCCATCCACAGAGACGATGAAACCGCCTCGCCGCCTCATTGCTTCCACTGCAGTTTCTGCTTTTTTAAAAAATAAAATAAAAAAGTTTTTTTATTTTTTACACATCTCTTCGCGTGAGCAACGTGGTTCCAGATTGCAACATTTATGCAGTCATCGTTACATTTACAACTCTCTTGTTTTAACATCACAATCAAGTTCACTATCCATCCCACTAATCTTTCCATTTCGTATTTCAATTCATTAGTCACTGCAGTCACTGCTTTGATAAGCGAGGCGGTTGCAGCCCCCCCAACCCCCCCCCCATTGTTATAAATAACTTGAAAAAACACACCAACATAAATCACATGCAGTGTGGCCCCCTCCTCTCTTCGAAGGGGGTCTGAAGGAGCTGCAGAATTCTGGGAGTTGAAGTCCTTGTCAAGTTGCCAAATTTAAGAAATTTGTTCTTAAACCCCAGTGGTTCATAGAGGGGGGAGGGGGCACCATCTCGACACCCCCTCCCAGGGTGCCCCAAGATGCTGCATTTAAGGGCAGCTGGGCTGGTCCTTCCAAATTTGTTCCCCCACCCAAGGGGGAATCCGAACCCGTAACCAAAGCCGCTTTCCTTGACGTTTGGTTCCTTCATCGGTCACTCAGTTCCCACTTCGTCCTTTCATAGCCGCTGCGTCGATCTTGGGCCTCAGTGCCGAGAGCGAGACCAGGAGGGCTTCCTACAAAGACACGGGACAGATCAGCCACTGGATTAAAAACGATCTTTTCTTTCTCCTGTCATGACGCCCTGCAGGATCTGTCAGGGATCCAGGAACAGCAACTCCTCGGCTGACGATTACAACCGAGCCCAACATTTCTGTTGCTAAGCGAGACACTTCAGTGACTTTGGACCCATTTTTAAATGACCTTTCTTGCCACCGTCGCAAAGTGAATCATTGGTCGCAAAAGGGGATCACATGACCCACCCACCCCCGGGGGACACTGCGACCGTCACAAAATACGAGACTTGCCCAGCATTCAAATTTTGAACAACTGACCGTCGGGATGTTGCGATGGTCATAGCTGTGAAGACCAACCGTAGGCTGGGTTGATTTTTTTTTATAAACTATTGTTGTAATTTTGAGCCGCTCCTCTGCCAATGGTTATAAAGGGAGGACTGTCTTTACCGCAAACACAGCTGCTTTAAGACACGTGGGCTTCAACTCCCAGAATCCCCCAGATTAGATTAAAATGAGTAACGCTGCTGCAGGGAAGTCCTGCCCCACTTTGAGAAGCTGTCCAGAGAGTCGGGCCCCTCCACGGGAGGGGTGACCTGTAGCAAACCCTAACTTTACCTCTGTCCTGATGGTGCGGCTTCCTTGCCCCGGACAGGTATTCAAATACAAATCAAACAAGGTGCCGGGATCGCTGACGTCCAGGTTGGGATCTGCATCCACTCCGGTTTCAACACCCTGCACGCCCCCGAAGACGATTAAAGCATGGCTACCAGGAAGAGAAAAAGAGAGAAGGGGTTTGGGGAAGGCTTTCTCAGCTCCTGCAGGGCAGAGACAGAATGAAAGAGTTGGAAGGGACCTTAAGAGGTCTTCTAGTCCAGGGGGTTGCCAACCTTTTGGACCGCAGGGAGCACCAAACTCGTAATTTTAAATCCTGCGGACCAGAGACCCCCTGAGAAAACCCCCCAAAGAGTCTGCAGGAAAATCTCCCACCCCGTTTTCCTACCGATTGATCATTATTTGGGATCGCAGGATACCGTCTTTCTCCAGCTCCGTTCTCAGAGGGAGAGACTTTTGGCTTCATGCAAGGAAAACAGCAGAAGCAGCAGAAGTCTTTCTTTCTCTCCCCCAAACTCCACCAGAAATGAGTCTTTGCCGGCACAGCCTTTTGGAACAGGAGGCCTTGCAGGGTCCCAAAGACTCATTTGTGGCAGAGTTTGGGGGAGAGAAAGAAAGACTTTAGCTGCTTTCCTTGCATGCAGCCAAAAAGCAGAAGAAAGAAGCGGAAAGAAGCAGCCCCGGTGGGCAGGAGAGGCGCGTGGGGCAAGTTCTTCCCCTCCGCCGTTTCCCCCCTCCCCTCGTGCTCGCAATGCAAGTGACGCAAGCCTTGTGTTCCCGTGGGCCATGTGGGTGGCGCTGCCTTGTGTTCCCGCACACCCTGGATTAATTGCTTTTATTAATCAATTAATTAATACATTTCTCTGCGGACCACCACAATTTTCTCACGGACCACCAGTGGTCCCATTGGTTGACAACCCCTTGCTCAACCAGGAGACCTTCTGGACCAATGGCTCTCTCCCAAAACTCCCAGCGTTGGAGCATTCATGACCGTTAGGAAGTTTCTTCTTCATCCATAAGGTTGCTTATCTCCGTGTTGAGTTTCCATCCGTTGCTTCTTGTCCTGCCTTCCAGTGTTTTGGAAAATTAAGTTGACCCCCGCGCCTCTTCTTTGAGGCAGCCCCTCAAATATTGGAAGACTGCTATCTCGTTTCTCTTAGTAATTTTCTTTTTTTAGGCCGGACGTTCCTAATTCTTACAACAGGTTTAGCATAAAACGTAACCCGGAAAATCCACGGTGGCTACCTGAAGGCAGGTAGAGCGGCTTCATCTACAGAGGATCCACGCTCCGAGGTTCCAATGGAGAGATCGTAGCCATCCTTAAAAGGGGATTCGGCAAAGACGGCGCCTGGTACGGAAGAAAGACAACTTTTGAAAGTTGTCACTTACACTCCGATATCCCCAAGGCAGAACCGTTCATTCCTTCAAAGTTTGAACGCAAAAAAAAATAAACTGGTCAGCTTCAGGGACAAAGACAGAATAAAAGAATGAATAAAGGATAAAGGAAGGAATGAAGAAATGGGAAAGTAAGAAGAACATATTTTCTCCCCGTTATTCTCAAGAGGTCTCCCTTAAAACATTCTTTGGCATTCAGTTCCATCTCTCCCCTTCCCAGCTTTGGGTAAAAAAAAACTTTTACTGGGAGAGAGAGAAAAGGGAACGCAGACTTACTCAGACACGAAGCTAATCGGACGCTGTAGCCCCAGTAAAAGCCAGAGACGGTGCGGGGATTTTGTGACGATACGACAACACCCTTCTGCGTTTTGTTCTCTGCCAAGGGAAAGGCATCGGGCGTGGTCAGAGGTTTGGATGTGAGTTTCTAAGGCGAGACGGAGGACTTGTCAAACCGTACCTGCGTTCTGCTTTTTCCCCAGGCGCACGGTGACACGAAGGCCGGCTTCCAATTGCTTATCTATCTGGACCTCCTGTAGGAAAACACCAATGGCATGGAGCACCGCTTAGTCTGGGCGGGGCAGTCAAACCAACCTGTTGCAAGAATTAGCCTGAGCGGGGCAGTCTTGCCTGTCCATCATCGATCCTTCTGCCCACCCTGGGGTGGGATTCAAATTTTTAACAACCGGTTCTGTGGGCGTGGCTTAATTGGTGGGCATGGCTTGGTGGTCATGTTATTGGCTGGGCGTGGCCAACTCAATATCACTCACGCATCTCCTCGCCTGGCCTCTCGTGACTGTGGGGATGCTGCAATAGTCGTAAGTGTGAAAAAGGGTCATAAGTCACTTTTTTCAGTGCCATTGTAACTTTGAGTGGTCACTCCACACAAGCAAAGTACCAGCAAAGGAGGGGGGAAAAACTCCAGAGAAGTTCCTGAGACAGGAAGTCTAGTCCTGCCAAGAATTTAATAAGGGTTAACGGAGAGGCAGTTTCTTTAAGCAACACCAGAATGTTTCCTTCCTGCCTTCCTTACAGGATTAGGCCAGTAATTTCTTCTAACAACCATTTCTCCGAACTGCTTAGAATGTTAACAACCGGTTCTAGGGAATAGGTGTGAACTGGTAGAATCCCACCCCTGCGCC